GGTGCCCAGCGACAGGACAAGGGGCAATGGGTACAAACTGAGACATAAGAGGTTTCAGTTGAACATGAGGAAAAAATTCTTTACTCTGAGGGTGCCCGAGCCCTGGCCCAGGCTGCCCAGGGGGGCTGTGGAGTCTCCTTCTCTGGAGATATTCAACCCCCGCCTGGATGAAGTCCTGTGTAACATGCTCTAGGAGAACCTGCTTTAGCAGGGGGGTTGGACTGGGTGATCTCTTGAGGTCCCTTCCAACCCTTGCCATTTTGTGATTGATTCTGTGAAAAACAAGGTCAATGCTGCGATCAATGGACCTTGCAAGTGTTTCCATATAAGGCTTGGACTCAGTGCTTGCCAGATGTCAAGGTGATAAGAGAAAAGTAGAGGCTTTGTTTTGGGATGGGTATAAAAGGATGTAAAGCGTAAAATAAAGTGATCCCGATGCTGCTTGTGCTTGTGCATGAACTCGGGGTCTGTGCCTTCATTGCCACAGAGATGTCTTGTGATAAATTCCCATCTAAGATTAAGTCTGATGTAAATGCTGTGTCCTGGTTGTGGGGCGACTGTGGGCATAAAGTTATCTGCACAAAGTGTAGGTCCTGGAAAAGGTCCTGTCTCTTAGCTGAGTTTTATTTAGATACATCTTTTTATGCTACAGCAAAAGGATGGGGAGAACGCGCATCTCACCAGCAGCTAAAGCACTTACCTACACAAAAAAACACCCCCAGCAAACCCTGGTGGGGGCTTTGCTGTGGTTGTGTAGGACTGACTGGGCATTAACCCCTAAAACATCACCAAGATGCCCATCTTCCACTCCATCACGCTTTTCCAGCTGTGTCTGGCTAGAGAGTCGTGATCTGGCCATTTTCTGCACAGGATTTAGTATAATCTAATTTCCATAGAGATTTAAATGTAGTTAAATCTGCTGCAGCGTAAGCCTGGAGGGCTGGCAGAGCTGTTCCAGGAAATTACATGTGTGAGGCCCTTCCCGTGCTGCCATGATGTCTTTAACCCATGGAGCAGGGATCTCTGCGTTTCATTAACTTCTGCTTCCAGACTTTTAAAAAGTTAACTACTGATGGGTTAGGCAGAGAGGACAAGATGTCCTGTAGCTCTTCAACAAAATCATTTATGCTTTTTAAAACATCCTCACTTCACGAAAAGCAAGGCCCGAATGCAATAATTCTCTTTCTAAGGCAAACCTTGATGTGCTTTTCAGTGAGGCACTGGGATGGGTTTGGCTGGTGCTCCCTCAACCCTTCATCTTGCAAATATTTACCCAAAGCTGCTGCCGAGGACCAGGCCAGCCCGAGTACGATGCTCCGTTGGGACTGCGAGAAGAGATTCGGAAGTGGTTTTTGCTCCCAGTGGCATCACAGCTTGCTGCTCCGGAGCCCAGCTGCTTTCTGAGGAGAGGAATCAGAATCGTTTGGGTTGGAGAAGCCCTTTAAGATCATCGAGTCCAACCGTTAGCCTACCCCTGCCATCCCACCCCCAAACCCTGTCCCTC